CATCCAATGAAGACTCGCGTTGCTTGACGTCCCGCTGAGAAGGTTGCATCATTGTGCTGTGCGCTCTCTGCAAGCACTGCAAGCAACTCTTGCTTGGCGTCCCCGGGGTCTTGGGTTTTCCTCGTGCCTATCCAATCCTGCCATCGCTCCCGGGCTACGGCTGCTTCCCGACTTTGTCTGCTTCTGCTTCTGCTGATGCGCTGTCGCAGTTGTTGTAAAGGCTTACTACCTTGCCAAGTTGGGGGATAGGCACGCGCTCAAAACCCGGAACCGAACGTGCCTTACTTTACCTTTTGGGCTGCGAGTTTGAGCTTTCGCCTTCCAAGACGAAGAGCTGCTCGTGCTTTCCAGCCTCACATCCCCCGACCACCGACCCGACTACCGCTCCTGGGGTACCTTACTTCACCTTATCCCATCGCTTTTCCATCGCTTTCCCATCCTCCCTGTCCTGTTACCCGTCCTATTTACTACGCGTCCTACTATACTATCCTTTTCCTTCTTGCATGTGTGGGATACGCCTCGTATGCCCTCTCGACACCACTCTTTCCCACCCTCCGTGCGAATGCGAGATCGAACACGCGACCGGACTCCCGCTATTCCCTTGATCTGACCGTCGCTGCCACTTCACCGGTCTTTTCGCTCACGACAAACTCGACGACCCCTTCACTTCCCCGTCTGCCGCCACCGAAGCGACCCGATCGGAGATGACGGCGTCACCAACAGACCGACGATAGCAGCTCTCTCGTTATATACGCCGGACCTGCTCTCTACCTCTGCCCATCCGCACCGAACCGAACCCCATCGGCGCACCCAGCGCACTCTCCGATACCACCATGCTTCTCGTCTACCAAGTCGGGAGCGTCAAGATTGGCGAGGTCGTCCGCTATACCGTCACCTACACACCCTCTCAAGACCGAATTCTGCCTTCGCCCGAGCGCCTCTACCTGCGCGTCCGCAACACCTCAGCAATCGCCCTTCGTGCCGCCTTCGTCCACGGCCCCTACACTCTTTCCGCCGCCGCTTACCCCTCCAACTTCGACCCCAACGTCAAGTTCGCCAACCCCCGTCGCTATGGTGTTCCCGAATTCGAGCCCATGCTCAAGGCTGGCGGTTCTTGGGAGAGCGAACTGATTGTCCCGGAGCATATAAGGCAGAGTGCCGGGACCGGAGGAGGCAGTCACTTTGGCGTATCCCCGGACCACGAGATCGAAAGCGCAACGTGGATCGTCGAGGTATCGTCCCAAGTCATCTTCTCGACCTCGGCTGCCGTAGGCTACGAGGTGACAATAGCAAGAGATGCTAAGTCCCTGAACTTGAGCTACTCTCTGCCCGTCATTGGTGGCCAGGCGCAGGTACCGCAACCCGGCAAGGTCGCCGACTTTCAGCAGAGCCTAGGCGCCAAGGACGGACATCATCCGGCGCAGCCGAAGGGCGTCTTCTCCAAAGCCATCGAGCTCAAGGTTGAGGACACGGCCGCATTGTGGAATACTCCGAGGCTTCCGGGCTGGGATGATCTCAACATTGACCGTTTCAAGAGCCGGCCTCGTAAGGACCAGCCCGTCGAGAGCGTCGCCCACGACAGCAGTGCTCCGACAGAAAAGAAACCCGAAGAGAAGCAAAAGAAGGTCCATTTGGTAGTCTTGACTCATGGCTTACACAGTAACCTCGGGGCAGACATGCTCTATCTCAAGGAGAGCATTGATTCTACGGTAGCCCAGGCCAAGATTGATGCCAAGGCCAGACGTGCCAAGGAGCGTGCAGAAAGAAAAAGCAAAGAACATGCCGATACGAACGGGGCTAGCTCTTCACAGGAGACTGTCCCCGAAGATGACTCTCCTGCAGAGGACGACGGAGATGATGAGGAAGTCATTGTTCGAGGCTTCTCTGGCAATGCGACAAGGACGGAGAGGGGTATTAAATACCTGGGTAAGAGACTGGCTAGATACGTTCTCTCCATGTCCTACCCCGATCAGCCCTTTCTTCCGCCCAAGAAAGGACACGCCGAATCAGCAGTCGCTGCCGTTTTTAACAAATCTGAACCAGACAGCAACAAGGCAGCCCACAAATACAGCACTATACACAAAGAAGAGATACAAGAGAAGCGTCCCTTTACCATTACCAGCATCAGTTTCATCGGACATTCACTGGGTGGATTGATACAAACATACGCCGTTGCATACATTCAGAAACACTCCCCAGAGTTCTTCAACATTATCAAACCGATCAACTTTGTTGCTCTTGCCACGCCTTTTCTCGGTCTCAGCAACGAGAACCCTCTCTATGTCAAATTTGCCCTCGACTTCGGGCTGGTAGGCAGAACCGGCCAGGATCTTGGCCTAACCTGGAGGGCGCCGACCATCGCAAGGAGCGGGTGGGGGGCAATCGTCAGCAACCTCGGAGAGAGCGCACACAAGAGGGTCATGGGAGAAGTTCAGCCAGAGTCAAAGCCTCTGCTGAGGATCCTGCCGACGGGACCGGCTCACACTGCCATGAAAAAGTTTCGCAACCGGACGGTGTACTCCAACGTTGTCAACGATGGCATTGTGCCACTCAGAACTAGCTGTCTCTTGTTCTTGGACTGGCAAGGATTGGGACGCGTGGAGAAGGCCCGGCGAGACGCTGGCTTGGTTGAGACTCTGGTCGGTGCCGGTTGGGCTGAACTAACCGGCGGTAGCTTGGCTCCTACACCTCGGAGAACTAGCATGCTCCCTCCGGAAGACGATGCGACGCCCGACGACCAGTCGGGCAACATCACCCCCACGGCCCCGTCCAATGCAGTCGAGGTTCCACAGCCACCGCGGAACGCAATGATGGAAGATGACAGGGCCAGTTTGCGGTCTGTACCCACGCCTTATAATGAAGATGGACCTGAGGGCGGGAAAGACGCAAATAGTGGTGGACCATTCGCCGGCTTCTTTTCCATGTTCAAGAGCAGCGACTCTTCGCAGCCCAAGGCACCACCCATATCCAACAAGCAACACAAGATTTACAGGAGAAGTCAGACCATCAATTTTGACGAGATATCGCAGTCATCTGGTGGCTCCTCCAAGGTCACTGCCGGCCACGAACTTGAAAGAGGAGAGAATCGGCATATTGCCCCGCCGAGAACGAGCTTCTTCGAGTCCGCTCACGACCTGATCAACCCCAAAATTCCTACCACCGAATACCTGATCGACCCATCCAAAAGGCCTCGCGCAATCTTCCATGACCGTGTCTACCAGCCTGCTGATATTCCGCCTCCGCCGTTGAAGAAGAAACCCACGGGGTCGTTGGCTTCTCGGCGAGGCACTTTCCGAAGGGCCGCCTCAACTGGCTCTGGAGGGTCGAGGACTAGTACGGACTCGTCTCCGCATCCATCTCACCGGTTTTCACATGAAGGTACCATGGATTCAACCAGAGACTACGATGACACAGCCAACACAAACCCGAACAAGGGCGCCGATGAGGAGATTGACGCATCGCAGATGCGGGTTGAAGAGAAGATTGCACGTGCTTATCATCGTGGACTCGCTTGGAGGAAGGTCTTGGTCAAGCTAGAGCCAGACGCTCACAACAACATCATCGTCCGTCGAATGTTCGCCAATGCCTATGGTTGGCCTGTGGTGAAGCATCTCGTCGACGCCCACTTTAGCGACTCCGCTACGGCGAGGACACGTGATGCTGACGAGCCAACTGGGGAAAGAGCCAACGATATCAGCCTGCCACCTAATAAGTTTGGCGATGAGGTCAACGATAGTGGTGCTTCGTTTACCGGAGATGGCGCGAGCGATGTTCTGGGGACGGCGCTTCTGTCCCCCAACTCCCAGAGAGAGGCGGAAGACGTGGTCCCTGACATGCAGCCACCCCCAAAGCGCCGCTCGTCATCCCGAAGCTCCTCAGCCAGTCCGCCGAGGGCAAATCGGCCTCCGCGACCGCCTGAGCGTGTCGACTCGGTTACGTGGAGCGAACGTGACTGGGCGGACAGCGATGACAGCGATACTACAACAACCACAGCCAGTGCAAGAAGCCCCACATCACCGACAGGCCCCAAAGACAAGGACAAGGCGCGATCATCGACGCCGCTCGGAGGCTGGAATTGGACGGAGAAGATTGTTGGTAGGGCAAGTCGCAAGCCATCATCCAAGCCAGAGAAGACGAATGCCACCACGGTGACGGCGCCAGCCAGCTAGAGCGCAAGGGACACTATCGTGCAAAAAGCCTATACCTTTACGTACATACATACTGATTTAATCGATGAGACCACGCCCTGATGAAGTTCCTTCCTAACGTTTGATGGCCGCAATTTATGAACCCAGTAAAGTTATAAACCCAGTAAAAACTTGCTTCAAGCAGTGAAAATAGTAAAAGTCAAACAGAGACTGTGTATATGCCCTACACTTCCTGCGTATAATTTTTGTAGGCGATGGTCATCGGACGATGTAGACCTACGTGCCTTGTTAGCGCAGCAAGCTATCTGGCGTCTTTATTGATGCGGCTACGTTCCTAACAGACTGCAGCTTGCAACGTGGGGGCAGTATCAAATATCACGTTCAGAAACGGTCTTTTTTTTTTATTATTCTTTTTCAGTTTAGGACCAGCTTGCAAAAAAAGTTCCAAAAAAATTGGACGAACAGGGAATCGAACCCTGGACCACTCACATGCTAAGCGAGTATTATACCACTAAACCATTCGCCCGTGCCTTGCGCATGTCAAAGTTGCCTCAGAAGCAGTTCATACCCATGGCCGCCAACAGCAGAATCATCACAACCTATAGCTAGGACGACCCAACTTGTAAAAGCAGCGTCTCAAAATTAAGGCAGGTCATGTCTCGAGAAACTTTGGGTGTAGTGGTGCATGGGTGTATCCTTTAGAGGAATACTGCGCGCCGATTCATATCCGCCGCAAGACGAAGGTTTCCAACACCTCTGTACCGAGTCAGTCCAAGTTCATCCGATGAAGGGATGCAGAGCGGACGCACGGATCCAAGAAAAGAAGAGAAAGGAAGAGAAAGGAACATGCCTTCAGTCTTCGTCGGACTCGTTGTCGTTTGCCAGGTCGACTTGGAAAACCCCCCTCGCGAACCGGACAACAAGTTTCTTGGCCTCGCTCTTACGGTCATACACCCTCCACCGCTCCTCGTCTCCCTCCCACGTAATCTTTGTGATCCTCCTGCTGCAACCGTCCGCGCCAGAGGGTATCACTGTGATCTGTGTCAAGGGATACCTTGTCCAGCTCCTAGCCAGCACGATCCCCTCCCCCTCTCCACCGTCCGCCTCCGCGGCCGCCACGTGGGCTATCACCCATCGGTCCTCCATCTGCTGCGGCCAGAGCCCCTTCTTCATGCGGTCCCATCCGGCCGGAGGAATGACGCGCGCGCCGTCCCACACAGCCGAGACCGGCTTCGAAAACTCGTACTTTCGCTCTCTCCAACTCCCCATCTTCTTCTTCTTCTTCTTCTTCTTCTTCTCCTGCTCATCAGCCTCCTCCTCAACCTCCCCAGTCTCTATCGTGGTGTGGGTTCGTTCGTTGGGTGCACTGATCTGCGTCGGAGAGGCTCGTAACATGCCCACAAGGCGCAGCGGTCCTTGAAAGAGGATATTTGCTAGTCGGTTCATACTGGCTTCGTTGCAGGCGATCTTGAACTTGGAGCGACAAGTTGGGAAAGCAAGGTTGTTGTCAAGTGCCCCATCTTAAGTACTTAGGAGGCGGAGGCATCGCTGCCTGCTCCTACCTTCTTCATTTCTCGTAGCTCGCTCAGTTTCGATCCTCATATCCTGCGGGCTTATTCGCTTACGCAAGGAATTCTCTCTGTGAAATGAGTCAGACGCAGGACCCTTGCCAAATCATCAGAATGGCATCCGAAAGTTTTGTCGATTTAGACTGCCGCATGAGATGTGTGTGGTGAGGTCGTCTAGGCAGACACCTCTCAGGCAGACTTGATAACATGACACGGATAAGGGGGGGGGCGGTGGCCGTGCCGCATGAAAGCCACCCATGGTATTGGAAAACTCCATCCTAGTGCTGTAAACCCAGATATGAATACTCATTCATGTACGTTAACGAAGCTAATACTGGATTCTATTTACAGCCTACGCAGGTCAACACACATTGCATTGCTGGACCTTCGGACGCAGTGGTTTTGATTTTTTTTTCTTTTTTTCTATTCGCTGTATCTGCGACAAATATACGAATGAGGCGACCCCTTGTCCGACAGCCTCAGTGACATAGGCACATCTCAACCTGACAAGCGGGGGAAATAACACAGGACAAAGGTGGAGCTGCGAGCTCGAGGCGCAGTGTTATAGACGCCTCTTCATCTGCAAAACAAGAAAGCAAAAGATGTACAAGGGAACCCAGCCTGGTTCTTTTCCCCCAGGGTATCGCCAGCCATAATCCAACTCCGAACTCATCGCCACTCGTTGATATGGCTCCATTGCATCACCCATCCCGCTTTTCGCCCCATGTATAGATCCAGAGCACAGATACAAAATATTAAAAAATAAAATAAAAAGTCTCGATATTCCAAAGAATGTTCCTCCTGGGCAAGGTGGGGGACGGAAGGTGGAACAGCCCAAGTACAGCGACATCGAGAATATGGTAATACGGTTGGGGGACAGGGTGACAAAATCGTCGACACCCCTGGCCCGGTGAGTAGAATGGTACGTACTGCCAGACATGAAGTAAAGAAAAGGAAAGAAATCTTTCGAGCTGATAGCTCATGGCCAAAGACATATATACCGAATGTATTATGCCCTCTCTAACTGCCATCGGTTCGACACCGGGCAATCGCCAGGTATCTCATTCAAACAGGATCCTCCCGAAGGGTATCGAAGCGTAAATGGTGACAAATATGGAAAATGGCGTTTAGGTCGTCAATCAATTCCAACCGAGTGAATTCTCAGCAGCAACGGGGGCAGAGATGATCGCGGTCCTTGCTGAATTACCCGGGCCACTGCGGTTCGTGCGGCCACTGCCATGACTGTCTCGGCCACCGGCGACTCCACCGTAGTTAGAGAAGTCCCTGCTCATCAAAGCCCCGCCCATCATCGGGGGGCTGCCCGCGCCAGTGTAACGCATTTCAGACGAGGTGAGGGAGCTAGCGCGGCGGTGGGCCTGCTTCTTTTGCTTGTAGCGGCGAGCAATGATGAACATGGCGGCGCCGTACGCAGCAGCAACACCAACAGCACCGATTCCAATAGCCGCTGCAGTGCCCTTCTGGATGGGGGTCTGCTCGTTATTATCGTTGTTGAAAGGGTCGTTGGGGTTGGCAGCATCGGTGGACGATGAGCCGCCGTCACCAGTGGCGTTGGGGTCATCCTCCATGCCCGGAATAATTTCAATGGCAGGGTTGATGTTCTGAGTGAGGTTGAAGACAAGCTGGTCAGGGTTGTTGTAGATGGCAGAGTTAGGAATCTTGATATCCATGCGCAGGGTATCAACCATGCTAGTAGGATAGTAGAACCTGGCCAGGGTGGTAATGTAGCCGAGAGTCTGAGAGGTGTCGTAAGGAACAAGCTTCTGCATCTTGATCTGGGTCAGGTCGAGACCTGCTGCGTCGGCCAAAGCCTTGGGAAGACAGCTGAAGATCTGAGCTGCAGCGTTGGGGTTCTTGCTGACGTGCTGGTAGTTCTCGCCGTGCAAGAAGCCAATCTGCAGAAGGGTGGAGTCTTTCGGCTTCTCAACGTTAGGGTCAGGCGGGCTGATGACCTTGGGGAGGTCAGAGGGCAACGGGGCTGTCGTCGTGGGGGCCAGAGCCTCGGTAGGAGTACTGATTGACGTGGATTGCTCCACAATGATGGTGGTAGGAAGCCAGGACTCGGAGTCGGTGATCGTAGCCGTGGCAGGAATGCTGGTGATGACGGGTGTGGTCGAGGCAGGAGGAGTCGATACCGTAGGTGTGGTCTCAACAACAGGCGTTTCGGTGGTGTTGACGGGGATGGCAGTCGATGTAGCAACCGGAAGCTGAGTAGTCGTAGGCTGGGAGGTAACCGGAACGGATGTCTCGGTCACAGGAGCAGTCTCGTTTGCGATAGTTGTCGGCGGGATAGAAGCAGTGGACGCCGGAACAGAGGTCGCACTCTCAGCATCGGTGGTGTTGCTAATGGAAGTCACAGAAGAAGGGAGCTCAGTTGTTGTCGGGAGTCCGCTGGTAATGGGAACCTCGGTCGAAGTGGAGTTGACAGGGATGGGCTCCACGGAACCAGTCGCTGTAGTTGTGGGTGCAGACGTGACAATGCTGTTAGTCAAAGTGACCGGCTTACTAGTTGACGTTTCTCCCACAGGAATCTCCGTCGACGTAGCGTTGATTATGCCTTCCGTAGAAGAAAGCACAGTGGTGGGAACGGACACGGGGAGCTCGGTTGATGAAGTGATGTTAACAACAGGGTCGCTAGGAACCGGCACGGACGTAGTCGGCTCAGTCGAGATCTCAAGTGCCGAGGTAAGATTCACAATGGGGTCGGTAGGCACTGCCGATGTCGTGGTACGATCAGTTGGCGATGGGAGAGCAGTGGGCGTCGGGATAGGGACGTCGGACGAAGCGGCAGAGGAGGAAGCGGCGGGGAGCTCGGCAGAGGTTGCGTTGATGATGGGAACTTCGCTGGATATCAGGGAAACAATGGGCTCCAGCGGGTTCGTAGGCTTCGTTGTCTGGGGCGCCTCGGAAGAAGCAACTGAAGTTGGCAGGCGAGTGGCGGAAATAGTAGCATCTGTGGAGGCGTTCTCGGCGGGAGCAGAGGATTGAACGGCAGCGGAAGTGGTTTCGGCAGGTAGTGAGACGGACTGGGCTGAAGTGGACACTACGGGCTCCGTAATGTTGACACTGGGAGCAACGCTCGAAGCAACGACGCCGGAAGTTTGCTGTTCGGGAATCGAAGTCGACTCCGCAGCAGAGGTCTTGGACTCCGAAGTTGACGTCTCACTCACGACACCAGTCGGGGCAAGCAAGATACCAGAGGAAGAGATGGAGAGAGTCGTCTCCGGCACTGAAATAGACCCGGCCTGGGTTGTGGGAGCAGCCAGATTGCTGCTGTTGGCAATCTCAGAGCTAGCAGGGACGGCTGAGCTCGTGACGGCCTCCGAGGTTGGCGCAACGACAATGCTTGAACCGGGGGCACTGGACACACGAGCGGCGTCAGTGGGCTGAGTCGAGTTCACCTCAGTCGCGGATGCGGCGGTAGACTCGACGGCACTAGAAGCTGCCGGCGTGGTCTCTGCAGCGTTGGATGACTGAGCCACCGAAGTCGCCGACTCAGGGGCGGTGGATGACTGAGGGACAGAAGATTCCGGGGATGGGGTAGACTGAACGGCAGCAGCGGACGACTCGGGGGTAGTCGTCGGGGTTGTTGCGGCAGCGGAGCTTTCAGCCGTCGGCATGGGCGTCTGAGTCGTGGTCGGCAGAGGTGAGATTGTAGAGGCATCGCTTGTCGCAACGGCCGAGGATTCGCTCGTTGTAGGCACGATGACGGGGGGGAGGCTGCTGGTGGAAGCCGCACCGCTCGCCGTCGTCTCCGTTGATGGGTCGAAGACGATGGTGCTGGAGATCACAACAGTCGTAACACTGCCATCTGCAAGAGTTGCGGTGGACAGCGATACAGAGGATTCAGTGGCTCCTGAAGAGACAAGCTGGGTCGATGCGACAGTAGACGTAGGCGAGGGTGATGTGACGGCGGGGATCTCTGTTGAAGAAGCGCTGGATGACGGATTCTGATTGAGAGTGTCGGTCAAGCTGGTCAGGAAGTCACTAAATGACGAACTCGGCCCGCTTGATGTTGTCGAGTCGAAGGGCGTGCTCTCCGGTGCTGGGAAAGTTTCGGGTCTCGTGCTCGTGGAATTCGTGAACTGGCGTTTGACGTGACGGGGAAAGTAAATCTTGGGCCTTTCCTGGTCGGCGCAGGCAGTGGTTGCCAAGCCCAGGGCGGCGGCCAGAAGAGCAGACTTGGCGTGCATGTTTCCTTCCCAACAATAATCCCGATTATCGAATTTTCAATTGAAGTTTTGTTTTAGCGATTGTAAGATACCAATTTTTGGCAGTATTTAGTAGTCTCCATGTAGAGTCAGCAGTGGCGCCCGGCGATAGCTAGACTAAGACGGGACTCACTTGTCAGGGGGTTCTCAACGAATGTACTTGACAAATGTGTCAATGAGTGTAAGTATAGTTTGTTATGTTTTGCAAGGTGGTAAAAATGAGCGACTCGACGAGAAATCGTCGGATGGGTGCGGGAAGGACGTGGGTTAGTTGTCCGTCACGGGTTGAAGAATTACAGCAATTTTCGATCGCGAATTCATGAGGAAGTTGGCGTTTGTCCGCGAGACCTTTGTCGGGTCGTTAGATCCGTTCGTGGCACATAAGGGGACGGAAGAGGATCGACTCGGTGGACCGCGTGGGCGCAAAGGGGGCGCAGGTTGAGAATCGAAGAATCGACGTCGCCCGGGGAATTCTTGACGGAGGCGAGAGGAGGTCGAGGTCGACGATTCGAAGACGAGGTCGGGAGAGGTGGGGGCGCAGAAGAGGAGAGCGAACGAGAGGAGTAAAATGGGAAGGGAAGGGAAAAGCGAGGGTGGTAAAGGAATGGAAGGGGACAGGAAAGAATGTGGATGGAACGAGGCAGCAAAA